ACCAGTCAGGAAACGACAGGTGTTGGTGAGGATGCGGAGAAAGGGGAACCCTCCTACTTCATTGGTGGAATGCAAGCTGGTGCCGCCACTCTGGAAAACAATATGGAGGTTCCTCAGAAAGTGAAAAATAGAGCTACCATACGACCCAGCTACTGCACTACTGGGTATTTATCCTAAAGACACAAATGTAGTGATCTGAAGGGTCATGTGCACCTGAACGTTTATAGCAGCAATGTCCGCAATAGCCAAACTATGGAAAGAACCCGAATGTCCATCAACAGATGAAGGGATGAAGAATGCATGTATGTATGTGTGTGTGTGTGTGTGTGTGTGTATGTATATATATATATATATATATATATATATGAATATAAATGGAATGTTGTGGAATACTGTGCAGCCATCAAAAAACCTGAAATCTTGCCATTTGCAACGATGTGGGTGGAACAGGTATTATGCTAAGTGAAATAAGTCAATCAGAAAAAAAGAAAGAAAGAAGTCAATCAGAGAAAGACAATTATCATATGATCTCTCTGATGTAAGAATTTGAGAGGCAGAGCAGAAGGTCATGGGGGGAAGAGAGGGAAAAAATGAAACAAGATGGGATCGGGAGGGAGACAAACCGTAAGAGATTCTTAATCTCAGAAAACAAACTGAGAGTTGCTAAAGGGGAAGGGGGTGGGAGGGATGGGTGGCTGAGTGACGGACATTGGGGAAAGTATGTGCTATGGTGAGTGCTGTGAGTTGCGTAAGACTGATGATTCACAGACCTGTACCCCTGAAACGAATAACACATTATATGTTAATAAAATTTTTTTTTAAAAACTGTGTCTAGTTATCAATGATTTAGCCCTTCATGCTATTTGGGAAAGACCTAGATGTCTAATGAATTTAGTCCCATTTATCATCCAAGCAGAACTTTAAAGTTTCAGGTTACCAAAGACTATACTAAGAACTGCCTATGAAAACTTTGAGACAGATAATTACCCAGCATTTTAGTATTTTTGCTAACAAATTGCAACAGAGATAACGCAACCTTATTTGATCTTCAGTAACCCTTGGTAGAGTAAAGGTTTCACATTTAGTGCTGATAACTTAAAAGACACGTCTATCTTAATTAAAACAACAATTTAACTTAGTTTAAATACCAAACTATGGGGCGCCTGGGTGGCTCAGTGTGTTAAGGCCTCTGCCTTCTGCTCAGGTCATGATCCCAAGGTCCTGTGAGTCAGGCTCTCTGCTCAGCGGGGAGCCTGCTTCCCTTCCTCTCTCTCTGCCTGCCTCTCTGCCTACTTGTGATCTCTGTCAAATAAATAAATAAAATCTTTAAAAAAAAAAATACCAAACTATGTTCCACCTGGATCCTCCCCATTGTCAAGTTCTACCAGAGACACGTGGGGAAATCTGGAGTGGGCAGTGTTGTGTCTAGGGGGTGCTCTTCTTGCTCCTTGACAGTGAAGGGAGAAGGAGCCATGGTGCCTGAGACTGGTCTAGAAGCCAGTTAAGCAGGCCACACCCAAGGTGGGGCAGAAACAGGACAAGGGGGAGACAAGACAGAAAAGGCAAGGTGTTACCAGAAGGCAGAGAAAGTGTTCCCAGTTTTAGAGCTCATCAGCTCCAAAAGAGAAGCAGACACTTGGGAATATTCCTTAAAATCCCCGTCCTGGGGGAGCCTGGGTGGCTCAGTGGGTTAAAGCCTCTGCCTTCAGCTCAGGTCGTGATCTCGGGGTCCTGGGATCGAGCCCTGCATGGGGCTCTCTGCTCAGCGGGGAGCCTGCTTTCCCCTTTCTCTCTGCCGGCCTCTCTGCCTACTTGTGATCCCTCTCTCTGTCAAATAAATAAATAAAATCTTAAAAAAAAAAAAAAAATCACCGTCCGGAGGGAGACTAACCACAGATGGCTTCAGTAATAGCCATTAACCTGGGAAATGGGTGAGGGAGAAGCCCCCACATCTATCAGGCAGGCAGTTTCCATTAGCCCCCTTTTCCTTCTGGCTGGGTCTCCTCATGGGCTCTGTGCTTTATGACTGTCGTGCTGCCTTCTTTGACTCTCTATTCAATTCCTAAGGCTAGTTACCAATTAAGTTTTCCATTTCCAATAATGTATTACTTAAAACTCATCAAAGAGCAACTTTCAAACAATAGGGGTAAAATAAGTTGAGTTTTAAAAAATACAAAAATGGCATAAGATTATCACCATAACTAAGACAAACTAATCTTAAAAGAAACATGAAAAGTACACTTCAATAGGTATTTTGACTGTCATACTCAAAATACAGGAAGCAGAATGACATTTTAGAATAGCATACATTTTGAAGGTTATTGGAGAATAATATCAAACAATTTCTGGGATTTACTTAAACATTAGATGTTTGTCTAAGCAATTAACAGAGATAATCTAATTTGAATCTTACAACTCTGTTATGTAAACACTGCCCATATTTTGTAAAAGAGGAACCAAGGCACAAAAAATTTAGAAAAGTTCAAATCTCATCACTAGGAAGTGGTTGAAACAAAATTTTGAAACTAAGTTGCAGGATTCCAGAACCCACACATTTCCTCTCCATGTTTGAATCATTGCTTCAGATTATCAGATTTTTTTTTTTTTTTACCTATAACTACTTACTAGGTAACCAAAGTTACATTATTTACATTCTACAAGCATACATGGTGTTTTTGAGAAATTAAATGAAAATCTATGTTTAACACACCCAACATAATGCCTGGTTTATCAGAGACACTCAGAATTCTTAGTCTCCTCTCCTTTTTCTTAACTTTAGGATGAGAGCTCCTGTTATTTTACATTCTGTTTCTGTCTGGATCAAGTGTCCTGTAGGCTGTCAGAGCTGCTGAATTAGGTATCTCCCCACACAGGCCACTTAGAGGAAGCAGGAGCACTGTCTTCCTGTAGATCAGCTTCAGGCCCGGGAGTCAGAGGAGCACTGCAGACTCCATGCTCCCTCAGGGGCTCACCCTCCTCCCAAGCTCATCCAGGTTGCTGCCCCTGATGTCCGGGAAGGGGTCTCCTTGATAGACAGGCATTGCTTCCTTACAGCCTCTGGGCTCTTTTACTGGGTTTTACTTGGGTTGCAAATATCCTACATTGGTCCCTTCTATTAGCGCAGAATCGGACCCATGAGTGCAGAGTTTGGGCTATCTGAAGCCAAGAATCAATATATAGGAATTGGTCAGGAGCTGGGCAGTGGGTAGGTCTTAGGGTACCCTCGGAGGGCCAGTTGACCCCAAAGGTGGCCTGTTCCAGTTCACATAATGTGCATAATTTTCCAGGAGGCATTTTGATACCATAGTCTCCTGAGAACCCTTCTTAAAATTTTTAAGCATACAGTCTGGGACCGAAGGTTTTGAAGAGCTTCCACCCATGATAAGCAGGGGCTCTTTTGCTCACCCTATGTGTTCCCTCCCTGCCCCTCCCTCAAAACAAAGGGTGGGCGCCCCTCCAAAGGAGAGACCAGTTAGATGCTGGTCTCTCCGCTCTCCTGCGGGAGGCGTGGGTGCCTCCTGGCCGCAGGAAGTCTCCTATAATAAGACCCAGACTGGGGCCTGAAGGGCTCGCCCTAGACTCTACGAGGTCACCACGGAAACAGGTTGGGGCCCACTCAGACTCCTAGTCTCAAGACCCTAGAGCCACAAACACAAACAGGCCATTCACTCAAAGTTAGAAGTTATTAAGGTCCCCGTCCCCCGCCCCCCAGGTGTCTTTCCAGTGGTATTCCTTTTGGAAATTCCTTCCTGTCCCGCCCCAGGCCCCCGACCTGTGGAATTCCTTTTGGAAATTCTTAGAAGGTGATGAAACTTCCCTTCCGCTAGCGAGCGGGAACTGACTACACATCATCTTCCCCGGTTTACCGAGTCCTGGCGAGTTGCCAGGCAAGTTGGTCCACTTCTCCTTAGAGTCCAGCGAGGCACGACTGCCCAGAGGGATGGAACTAGGGGTGAAGGAGAACCCCGAATAGTGTCTGTGGCGCACCCCCTCGGTTGGATCCCGACTTCCTTCCTGCCCCGGTGCAGTCTAGCCACCCCGGCCGGTAGCTCAAGGGGCCGGAACGGTTGGAATCTCACCTCTAAAAATGTGGCGGAAAAATAATCAGACCTTCGAGAGACCAAGTGTCACTCGGAGAAGCAGGAGAACTCGGTTTTATTTTATGCTCGGACCCAGATGAGCTTGTGTGTGCTCCAAGTTCTGGGCCCCGGGCAGTGGGTTACAGGGCTAGAAAAAAGGCAGTCAGGGTCCAAAAGGCTAGACTGACTGCTGGTAGGTGGGTTTAAATTGGGAAGGCGGGGTCTGCTTAGACAGGAACAGTAGTGCAGGGAGCCTGCGGCGGGGAGCCTGCGGCGGGAAGCCTGTTTACCGGAGCGGAAGGTGCTGGTTTTCTCTTGCTCCGGGTAGGGTTTCTAGTTTTCTAGCTTCTTGTCAGTAACTTTCTATCATCTGGGACCCCTTGGCCTGATCCTGCTGTGGGTACCATTTTCCTCTTCAAAATAACCGAAGAAGATTAAAAGGTACATAAAATAAATAAGTTATAAAATAAGTCACGGAGATGAAAAGTAGAGCCCAGGGAATATAGTAAATATAATAACCTATGGTGACGGGGGGGGGCGGTGAGGGGGTGAGCACTGAGTAGTGTCTGGAACTGATGAATCACTACGTCGTACACCTGCAACTCCTATAACACAGAATGTTAACTATACCGCAATTAAAACAAAAGCAAAAACGTCACAGTCCTTAGATCACGCGACTGTTGATCTCCGGGTTTTGAGTTCGAGCCCTACCTTCGTATACCCAATACTCTCTACAGAGATTACTTAAAAATAAAATCTTTAAAAAAAAAAAAATAGCCAAGAACAAGAATCCTATCGCCAGTGAAGTCCCAAGTCAATCCTAGAACTGAAGCCGCCAGCAGAGGCGGGAAGCCAAGAAGTGGTGCTGGGAGTGCCTCATTACGCAGCAAGGTTGGAGAAAGGGACGGTTGCGAGGGATGGAAAGTGAGTCAGTAGGGACAGAGCTGGAGGAAGCGAGTCGCGGCGATGACAGCCAGGGGGCTCACGCATTCGCTGCTGTTGCTGCTGGTGGTGGTCGCGGGTGCTGCAGGCGCCCGCTGGCGCGGGGAGGGAACCACACGGCACCTCCAGAGCATTATCCTGGGCCGGTGCGCGGAGTATGACGCCCTGGTGAATCCGGACCCGCGGTGAGCAGGACCCCGGAAGCCGGGAAGTGTAGAGGGGAGGAGGCTGTTCGCAGGGGCAGATGGAGTCTAAAGGGTAGGGGTCTCTCCACGCGAGAGGTGTCCGCGGGGTGGGGCGGGGGGAGGTGGGATTCTAACGGTCCGGGGAGCCAAGAGCAGAGCGTGGTACGTCTAGGGATAAGGAGAGAAAGAAAGAGAAAGAGAGAGAGAATGAGAATGTGTGTGTGTGCGTATGCTTAGCCAGAAGGGTCAGACCCGGGATGGCGGACCTGGAAATTGAATACAGAGACCTGGGGAATTAGAGTTTCAGATTCTCTGAAACCTACAGGACTTTATGAGTTTGAGTCACTCTTGCCAGCACAGTGCTTCTTATTTCTTTCTTCTAACTTTTTTTTCTTCAAAGATTCTATGCATTCATTTTACAGGGATCACAAGTAGGCAGAGAGGCAGGCAGAGAGAGAGGAGGAAGCAGGCCCCCCGCTGAGCAGACAGCCTGATGCGGACGCTGGGATCATGACCTGAGCCTAAGGCAGAGGCTTTAACCCACTGAGCCACCCAGGCACCCCCGTTCTTCTAACCTTTGTTCCTTCTTTGGACCTACTTTCTCGGTTTTCATAATTTTTTTTCTTGTGCCAGTTTTTTTTTCTGTTTCATTTCAGACAAATAAAAAGAGCAGAGAATAATAAAAGGAACCATATTACCCAGTCCCCACACAAGAAGCTGTTACAAATGCCTTGGGTAATGTTTTTGGAAAGCTAGGATGGACTTGAAGAGTGTGGCTGTCACCAGAGGGCGTCCTGTCTGCCTTAGTGTTACTGAAAGCAAAGGGTGAGGGCGGGAGGTGTGTCCGCCAATAGATCAGTCCAAATCGTCTGGCTTGAGTGAACAGTTTCTGTTACTTAGAGCAAGTAAGGAGAGAGGGAGGTAGTTCTCAAAGCACTGTCTCTAACACAAACTTCGGGGCTATTTTAGGCTGCCAGCCAGCAACATCTGGGTGAGTTACTCCCTACAAAGAGGAAGCTGGTCAGAAGAACTTAGTAAAACTTTTGTAATCTTTTGAGCAAGGCATTGAAGGGGTTTGCATACAAAGGTGGGGCTCCGTAATTTCCCAAGAACATCTGCCGCATTCTTAAGTGACTTGGGGGTTTCCCAGAAACGGGGCAGTTTACAGGATTTGCGAATCTGACAAATGAACATGCTGGAGGAACAAAACAGTGTATTCCGGGGCGCCTGGGTGGCTCAGTGGGTTAAAGCCTCTGCCTTTGGCTCAGGTCATGCTCCCAGAGTCCTGGGATCGAGCCCCGCGTCAGGCGGAGCAGAGAGCCTGACGCGGGGCTCGATGTCAGGCTCTCTGCTCCGCCGGGAGCCTGTTTCCTCCCCTCTCTCTCTCTCTGCCTGCCTCTCTGCCTACTTGTGATCTCTCTCTATGTGTCAAGTAAAATCTTAAAAAAAAAAAAAAAAACAGTGTATTCCTTTTAACTTCTCACTGTGGTCCCTGGTAACCTTAGCGCTAACTAACTCACTGGTCCACTGGCCTGACCAATGTGCACCCCCCCCCCCCCCCGCCCCAGTGGACCTTTGAAGAGGAAAATTACCCAGAGTAGGCCCAGGCCAGGGGGTCCCAGAAGATGGAAAGTTACTGACAACAAGTTAGAGAAAACCAGAAGCCCTACTGGGAGCAAGAGATAACCAGCTGCTTCTGCTCCTGTAAAGGAGCTTCCTGCCACAGGCTCCCTGTAACTACTATTCCCACCTAAAGCAGCTCCCACTCCCCCAGTTTAAACCCGCCTACCAGCAGTCAGCATAGCCCTTGGACCCTGACTGCCTGCAGCCCCCTATAAAAGCCCTATAACCCACTGCCTGGGGCCCAGAACTTGGAGCACGAGCTCAGCTGGGTCCGCGGGCGTAAAATAAATCCGAGTTCTCCGACTTCTCCCAGGGTCACTTGGTCTCTCGCAGGTCTGATGATTTTTCTGCAACACCTTAAGTCTCAATGGAGAGGCCCCTGGAGTCGGGAATGGTTTGTTGGAATTGTCATCCTCCAGCAAAGCGCCTTTTGTGTTCATCTCCAAGAGACCCTGCCAAGACTGTGTTCCTTAGCTCTGGAAAATGTGTGCCACAGTGTCTGAGAGCCATTTCCACCATTGGATTCCCAACTCCATCACCTACGTTTTTCTTCTCTTCTGACTGGGCATTAATGCACGAGACAGGACAGTTTGTTGTCTTTTTTCTGCCCAGTTCTGCAGAGTTAATAAATGGCAAAACTGCTCGGAAAGCTGTTGGAGTACTTAGAAATGGCAATACTTCATGACACCTCATGATGTGTTGTTTTTTTTTTTCTTTTTTCTTTTTTTAATGTGTTGTGCTGCACAGGGGCAGGAACTGCACAGCTATCTGGGAAGCCTTCAAAGTGGTGCTGGTTAAGGATCCCTGTTCCGTCCTTCCCTCAGACTACGACCGTTTTATTGACCTCTCCAGACACTCCATTCCCAGAGACAAGGTAAAACATTCCTCTCCGTCCCTATAGAGGTAGATGGTGTCAGGTGTCTGTGACCCTGCAGGCCCCTCTTTTAAATTTAATTAATTTAAAAAGTCAAGTAGCAAACTCACCTGAATTTTCTGGTGGGAAGGCATCTTTGTCTTCAGTGGCAATCCTGGGGTCTCTTTCCTGTCTGGGCGGAAGGAACTTTCCTAAGGCAAGGGTTTCTGCGGGGAATCACTACAGAAGGACCTTGCCACACCTTTCCCCTGGGGCTCTGCCCCTAGCCAATTCTGAATAACTTGTGTCCTAACTGGCCCCAAAGGCCTGAACTTCCAAGTGGCTCAGAGGACCCTTATCCTCAGTACTTTCCCTGAAGACCAATCTCTCCTTATTTTAAGGGACCTTAAGATTCTAGCTATTCAGTAGCAGTTTCTTTAAGAAAACCATGTCTGTATGCGGAGTTCTAATAAAATGAAAATAAATGAGAAAATCAACATAAAATGCTCACTTAGAACAATACCTGAGTTTAAAAAAAGTCAGATAGCTTTGTTTCTCGACGACATAATTTTCATTTTCATTGTAAAATCAGGTAGCATTGATGTTTACCAATGAAAAAAATCTTAACATTATTTTTTTTAAATTTGCAAATGGAGATGGAAGGTTCAGAGACAATAGATTGAAAAAGAATAATTTTAAAGAATATGTTGCATTTTGAGGGGCGCCTGGGTGGCTCAGTGGGTTGAGCCTCTGCCTTTAGCTCAGGTCATGATCTCAGGGTCCTGGGATCGAGCCCCACATCGGGCTCTCTGCTCAGCGGGGAGCCTGCTTCTCCCTCTCTCTCTGCCTGCCTCTCTGCCTACTTGTGATCTCTGTCTGTCAAATAAATAAATAAAATCTTTAACAACAACAAAAAAGAATATGTTACATTTGAACCTTGCTGCCTCCCTGCTGGTAAAAAGAGGAACCCTAAATGTTCTCTTTCTTAGATTTTGGTGCTAGTTGATGAACTCAGTAAATAGTTATCGAGCTCCTTCCATGTGTTGGACCTTGTGCTAAGGCTGGAGGACACCTGCAGTGGGGAACAAAACAGCCCCTGCCCTCTGGGAAGATTCCAGTCTAGGGATAGTCCAGTTGGACTGCTGAGGGTCTGATGAGATCATGAGAGGGCTATTGTTATTTCTGTTAGTGTTATCTGAAAACACTGAGCATTATAGTGGAGATCATAAAATACAATATAAAAGTAACATATTTCTGAGGCACTATACACTCTGTGTGACATAGCCTCCTGAACACAGCTGTGGAAGAAGAGAAAGTGCTCATGCTCTCCATTTTCCAGAGGTGGAAACTGAGGCAGAGGGCTCTGACATGCCTTGCTCAAGATCAGACAGACAGACAAGATCTTTTTAAATCAAGAGGTTAAAGATACATATATATACTACAGGGAAAGTGCTTTTTTAATGTGTGCAGGATACCCTTGAAATGATAGAGGAGAGATCATAGCACTCTCTGAATGGGCAAACAAAGACAAAGAAAAATAAAGTTTGCTTGTTGTCAGGGAAGTCAAGAGTTGAATAAGAAATGAACTGCCTGGGGATGCCCGGGTGGCTCAGTTGGTTAAGCCTCTGCCTTCCACTCAGGTCATGATTCTGATGCAGTCCCGCATCAGGCTCCTTGCTTAGCAGGGAACCTACTTCTCTCTCTGCCTCTGCCTGCCACTCTACCTGCTTGTGCTCTCTCTCTGACAAATAAATAAAATCTTTAAAAAAAGAAAGAAAGAAATGGACTGCCTGGCTGAAAAAAATCTGCTTTGATTTCATTTTCATGTTAATTTTGTGTTTGTTTTTCCTTAGTCCCTGTTCTGGGAAAACAACCACCTCCTGGTCACTAGCTACTCAGAGAATGGCCTTCGCTTTTTGCCTTTGTGCAGTGTTCTATACGGGAGGATTGGAGATTTTCTGAGCTGGTGTCGACAGGAAAATGCCTCCGGTAAGACTCCTGGACAAATCACAAGGAGAGTAAGAGCTCCTGGTTAAGTTGACACTGTGCATTTGCCATTTGTGCTAAATGCTTTCCTATGCATTTGTCTCATTTGATTCCCCCTGAATCATCTGATGTAGGTGGTCATAATAATAATTAATAATAACAATAGTAGAGAGAAAACACTTATCTTTTGCTGGCTACTCTGTAAGCATATATTGACATTTACTAACTAATTCAATCTCTGCAGCGGCCCCAGCAGCAGATATTTCCTCTCCTAATCCCTGTTGTAATAAATAAGGAAACTGAGGCACAGCAAGGTTAAGAAAGTTGCTGAGGAGTGAATCGCTAGAAAGCAGCAGGGTCAGACTGTCTGATTCCAGGGCACATGCTTCCTGCCCTGACCTGCCCAACCTCAGGATTCTCATTTTCCAGAAGGGGAAACTGAGGTTTGAGAAAGTTAAGTCACTCGAAGGAGTCGGGCCAGGAGTTAATCCTCTTCTGATGGTTTCTGAAGCTTGTGCACTTAAATGCCACTCCAGGTACCAGAGATGTTTTAAGATTAAAATCACAGTGAAAGTCACAAGGGCTGGCCTAGTGTTGAGGAAAAACTCTCCTTATGCATCGAGATCCTTCTGAGACCTGGAGATAGAGCAGTCCCCCTCCTCAGTGGGCTTACAGCTTTGTGAGGGTCATTTCCTTTGTGCTGTGCTCTGATGCAGGAAAGGCCAGGTCCTAAGCAGTAGCGGAGACACCCACCTAGACCAATCTGGGAAGCTTCCCACCAGCTGTTGGTTCTCAATGAGTCTTGAAGGGTGAGCAGGAAAGAAGGTGGGAGGAGGTATTCCCTTCATGAAAATTGGTGATTCTTCCTGCCTAGGGACTGGAATCACTTTAAAAGTTAGCCTAAGTTCATTTCTCTGTATTCTCCTCCATTCATTCATTTATCCAACTATGAGTCATAGAGTACCTATTCTCTGCCTCTACGCACTGTAAACACAGCAGAGAATAAAACAGGAAAATAATACCCCATCCTTACATTATAGATGGGGAGGTAAGACAAGACACAGGCAAGTCAAATAGTGTGCCATAAGATTACATGGGCTACAGAGAGAAACAAAACAGGAAAGAGAGTAGAAAGAGAGTAGAAAGTAGAAAGGGGAAGGTAGAGGGAGGACAGTGTTGCAGGTTTACATTCATGTCCAGAGAAAGCCTTGCTGTGAAGCTATTTGAGCAAAGATCTGAGGGAGTTGAGGAAGAGCATTTCCTGAGAGAGGGAACAGCCAGTGCAAAGAAGTAACGTCTGGTATATTTAAGGAACAGCAAGGACAGCAGTAAGTAATAGGTTGTGAGGGTAGAGGAATAAAGGAGGGCCAAATGGCATGGGGCTTTCACTGGGAGGGAGATAGAAAATTGCAGGGTTCAAGTAATGGATGTGGCCATTCATCCGATACACAGTGACCAGGAAGTCTGATTATCCTGCAGGAGAGATATGTGGAGTGTGAGAAAAAGAATGTGAAGGAAGGGGGAGTATGGTATAATCACAAATATTCGGTTGTTGTCCCCAGTTCCTGGAACACAGCTCCTAAAACCCTGGGAATGTGAGGAGTAATAAGAGTGTCTTGTATGTGATAGTGACATGAGTAGTGGTTGGGGGCCCCTAGATAGCTTCACATAGGGGCTGGTCACCAGAAAGACCAAGGAAAACCAGATTAGAGCCTGTGAGGTTTAACCCCATCCCTGTCCTCCAGGAAGGAAAGATTTTATTTATTTATTTGAGAGAGTGCACAAGCAGGGGGAGTGGCAGAGGGAGAGGGAGAAGCAGGCTCCCCTCTGAGCAGGGAGCCTCATGTGGGGTTCCATCTCAGGACCCTGAGTTCATGACCTGAGCCGAAGGCAGATGCTTAACCCAGGTGCCCCGTCATTAGAATTTTTTTAATGTAATACATTTTAATACTCTATACGTTTAAATGTCATAACATTTCTGTTTTCTGGCTAAGGACTATCACTTTCTTGGTGTATTTTTGCTGCGTTTACTTCCAAGACCAGGGCTAACTATAGAAGGCACTTCACCCAGCAGAGCAAAGGTTTTGTTTTGTTTTGTTTTGTTTTTTAATCACTTCACTGGAACCTCAATAAAGAAATAGCCGAGCTGACATGATGATGCTTGGTGGTCGGCAGTCTCACTCATTAGCCAACTGCTTGAGTCTGTGCCTTCCTCATGTTTGTGTGAAGCAAAATGACACCTGTCTTCCCAACACAGCTTGGGTTCTTTGTGGGTTGGGTAGGCAGAACTGTGAACATCAAACTTGTGAACACAGGCTAAATATAGATTTTGTGGAGTCAGCAAATGTTTTAAATTAATTCTTCTCTGATACAATGTTTGAAATGAAACATGTCTGTCTATTTTCCCCTTAGGACTCGATTACCAGTCCTGCCCTACATCAGAAGACTGTGAAAACAACGCTGTGGATTCTTTCTGGAAAAGGGCCTCTATGCAGGTGAGCTTGGGAAGGCTGACCAGGAGGCTGAGCACATGTGGGACATGCGAACACGGAACAGAGGGGTTCAGAGACAGAACCAGTGGGTCGTGATTTAACGTCTCTGAGGCTGTCTTGCTGTTCACATTCACCACATTCTGATTCACTCCTTCTGCTCCATAAAGGTGTGAGGACTTAAGGAGCCTAAATACCTAGTGCGGCCAACATATTCAGTGAGTGTTCATATAGATGAGGATATTAAATAGTCACTATTATTACTATTGTGATGTGGCTGCTCTTAGTTTTGGAAGCAATAGGATTTTGATTGCTGTGTAAAGCAATCAGGGGTGGCACCTGTTTCATGTGAGACCCTGGGACACCTGAGATCCAGATACGGGGGTCAGAAATGTCCCCAAGGCTTGCTATTCATGATAGAGGAGGTGATAGGAGGTGGTGGGTGACAGGTAAGGAGAAGATAACTGGAGACACAGAAATGGCCCCTTACCGAAGGTCTATTCCTCAGAGAATACTGTCACCAGAGATGATGGCAATCTAGTGAATGTTAGTTATGTTGACTAGGAGGCCAGTGGACTTCAGGGTCCTGCCATCCACCACCACCAACTCCCTCTCAAGGCTGGCCATGTCCCTTTTGTCCCATGCTGGATCTTTGGGTGTCCACAGGGTCCCTTGTTGATCAGAGTGAGATGACTTTGGTTAAATCCTCCTCCATGCTGCAGTGGAGTAGGGTAGAGGGCTGGCTCCAGGCAAAAGCCACTGTTTATTCCTGAGCTCTCCTGCTGCTCCAGTGGGAGCACCCCATTTATGCTCACTACCCATAGGCTCCATTTCTGGTGGAGAATCCACTCCCTGAGTGCTGGGCTGCCAGAGCCCCTCATGGAGGTTACGGGGGCATCATCACCTGAATGTAGGATAATAGCAGCAACTTAGGGGCAGTGTCAACATTCTCGTAAAGGAACTAAGAATCATGCCCACATCGTATGAGCCCTTAGACTGTGCTGGATCATCTATGCACAAGGAGAGGTAGTTTAGTGATGAGGAAAGGGTTTGAACTGTAGCAGAGAAGTATTCAACACATGTTAATAATTATTATTTTGTTTTATTTTTATTTATTTTTTTAAAAGATTTTAAACATTTGTTCATTTTAGAGAGAGAGAGAGAGCATGCATACAAGTGGGGGGAGGGCCAGAGGGAGAGAATCTCAAGCAGACTCTGTACTGAGCACTGGAGCCTGGCACAGAGCTTGATCCCATGACCTTGAGATCATGACCTGAGCTGAAGCCAAGTCGGAGGGTTAACTGACTGAGCTACCCAGGTATCCCAATAATTATTATTTTAAATGATTTAATCTTTACAACAATCCTGTGAGATCAGGGACCCTTATGACCCCTGTTTTACAGATAGGAAAAATGAGGCACAAAGAGATCAAGAAACTTAGGCGGACTTATTTTTTTTGTTTATGTATTTTCTTTCTGTTCAACTTATTAAGTAGACTTATTCCAGAGCTATTAAGTGGAGGAGCCAGGGAACAAATTTTTCAACCACTATATCATATAGCTTCATTATATCTGCATGCATTTTTTATTTATTACATTTTTTTCTTATCAATGTGATAGCTGCTCAGGATAAAAAAGTGACAAATAATAGAGAATACAGATAAGAAAATTAATCACGTATATGCCTACCACTGCCTGAAGGCAGTCCCTTCAGCATCATGGTCATCAGACCTTGGCATTTGTGGATTTGACCATGACCATTAGCACCGACTGCTTGGAAGCACCCTGAGACATGCATGACACGAAGTGTATTGTTGGTTTGCTGCCGCTGGTATTGGGCATCACTAAGTCCAGCTAGGGCTATCTCAGTGCCACTTGCCTTCCCAGCCCCCCACCTCACTCCAATATAAACCTCTTATCAGGGAAATTGAATGTTCTGGTAGTATTCTGAAGTGGAGATTTCTGAACTTCTCTGGACCCCTCTCTTCCTTGGGAAATTTGGGGGGTTGACTAATATTCCCAGACTTTTGCTTATTTATTTTTAGCACAGTAGAGCTCATGCTTCTTCTTCCTAATGTTGCATTTTGCTTTATAAATCCATATTTCCTCTGCGTTTGCAAATCTTTAGCAGTTTTATTAATGGCTGGCTAATATTTCAGACACTTAAGTACTATGAGTTACTTACTTGTTATTCCTTTTTTCTTCACTATTTTAGATGGTTTGCAAACAAGGCTGCAGTACATGCCTTTGTGCACAGTGATTGTGATGGTCCTTAGAACTGCTTGCAAAATATGTCTGCCTCATCTCCTGCAAACGTGGTTTGCATTCCCCTGCCTGTTGATGTTACTTGCTTGTGAATTCTTGTGACTTGCCAATGAGATGTGAGAGGGAGTGACTGTGATTTCTGGGTGGAAGTGTCTCAGAACTGGTCAGTGATTTGCCACTGTCAACTTCTACCTTCTCTGACAATCAATGACTTTGTAGATACGGACTCTTCATCAGCTTGAGGACATAGGGAACAAAACCCCAGTGGACTTGTGATAAAGATGTAGTGTGCGCATTAAATAAATCTTTGTCGTTTTTACTTTGTTTGAGATTTTATTTTATTTTATTTATTTTTTTTTAAAGATTTTATTTATTTATTTGTCAGAGAGAGAGAGAGAGGGAGAGAGAGCAAGCACACGCAGACAGAACGGCAGGCAGAGGCAGAGGGAGAAGCAGGCTCCCCGATGAGCAAGGAGCCCGATGCGGGACTCGATCCCAGGACGCTGGGATCATGACCTGAGCCGAAGGCAGCTGCTTAACCAACTGAGCCACCCAGGCGTCCCTATTTTATTTTTTTGACAGAGAGAGACAAAGAGAGGGCACACAAGCTGGGGGAGTGGAGTGGGAGAGGGAGAAGCAGTCTTCCTGCTGACCAGGGAGCCCGAGGCGGGGCTCGATTCCAGGACCCTGGGATCACGACCTGAGCCAAAGGCAAATGCTTAGCTGACTGGGCCACTCAGGAGCCCCAAATCTTTGTTGTTTAAAGCCACTGTGATTTCGAGGTTGTTTGGCAGCATACTTTAGTCTATTCCAGCTGATACAGTGCTGGAAACTGATTATTTCACATGGTTTTCCAAGAGTAGATTCTGCCATGGAATTACAGAGTCGATGAGTTTTTGACATTTCAAAGCAATTTGCTTTCCAAGAGATGCCAGTTTCATCCCTACCAGCTGTATGAGATATCAAATTTAGTACATCCTTGCTCACATGAGGAATGTCAATTTTAAAAAATTGCTCATTTCATTGCTGAAAAAAAGTAACATGTTAATTTAATCAAAATGCTTGTTTCTTCTTATAGTATGCAAGGGAGAGTTCTGGAGTGATCTCTGTCATGCTGAATGGTTCAGAGCCATCAGGAGCCTATCCTGTTAAAGGGTAAGAACACCAACATCAACAAATACAGCAAAGAATGCCAGGATGTGTGTTTAGTCTTTTCCAATGGAAGCTTGAGAAAATCATCTTAATCAACAGCATAATGCTTGCTTCTGTAAATTCAGGTAAAGCAAAGACAGTTGAATGAACCGGAGGTCAGAGCCGCATCTATACATCTCTGCCATTAATAGCTGATGAATGCATGAATGAAATAAATAACCTAAAAATAAAGGCCAAAAATACTCCCATAGAACACCCTGGAAGCTTTCCAACAAAAGTAATGTGCAAATAACTAACAATGAAATGGGAAAGATATCCTCTTGCTTTAAGACTTTAAGAAATGGGGGCGCCTGGGTGGCTCAGTGGGTTAAAGCCTCTGCCTTTGGCTCAGGTCATGATCTCAGGGTCCTGGGATCGAGCCCCACATCGGGCTCTCTGCTCAGCAGGGAGCCTGCTTCCTCCTCTCTCTCTCTGCCTGCCTCTCTGCCTACTTGTGATCTGTCTGTCAAATAAATAAATAAAAATCTTTAAAAAAAAAAAAGACTTTAAGAAATGTTGGGGTGGGGGTGCCTGGGTGGCTCAGTGGGTTAAGCTTTTGCCTTCCGCTTAGGTCATGATCTCAGAGTCCTGGGATTGAGCCCCTCATCAGGTTCTCTGCTCAGCAGGGGCCTGCATCCCCCCTCCCCCTCTGCCTGCTTGTGATCTCTCTCTCTATATCAAATACATAAATAAAATCTTAAAAAAAAAAAGAAAAAGAAAAAAGAAATGTTGGGGTGCCTGGGTGGCTCAATCAGTTAAGCGTCCAACTCTTGATTTTGGCTCAGGTCACCATCTCAGGGTTGGGAGGTCAAGTCTAGCATCTGTCTGGCTCCACACTCAGCGTAGAATCTGCTTGGGATTCTTTCTCCCCCTCTTTCTTTGCCTCTCCCCCTGCTCACATGCTTGTGTTCTCACTCACTTGCTCTCTTTCTCTCTAAATAAATAAAAATCTTCTTTTTTTTTTTTTAAGATTTTATTTATTTATTTGACAGAGAGAGATCACAAGCAGGCAGAGAGGCAGGCAGAGAGAGAGGAAGAAGCAGGCTCCCTGATGAGCAGAGAGCCCGATGTGGGACTCGATCCCAGGACCCTGGGATCATCACCTGAGCCGAAAGCAGAGGCTTTAACCCACTGAGCCACCCAGGCGCCCCATAAAAATCTTTTTTAAAAATTGTCTTTCTTGGGGTACCTGGGTGGCTCAGTCGGTTAAGCACCTGCCTTTGGCTCAGGTCATGATCTCAGGGTCCTGGGATGGAGCCCCACATTGGGTTCTCTGCTCAGTGGAGAATCTGCTTCTCCCTCTGTGCTCTCCCCCCTGCCCCAAATAAACAAATAAAATCTTACCCAAAAAATTGTCTTTCCTGTTTCTCAGGTTTTTTGCAGATTTTGAAATTCCCTACTTCCAGAAGGATAAAATCACACGAATTGAGATCTGGGTTATGCATGAAATCGGAAAACCAAAAGTGTAAGTCAGCGTGTTACCAATGATGGTAATTGTGCAAACATGCTTCTCTTGAATATGCTATTCTCAAGCCCATTTTACACTCTCATTTTTTGGGGAAATTATAGTGTTTTCTGTTTCTAATGTCATGGGTAAAAAAAGACAAAGTCTTGACTTTTTGGAAATGCCACTAACCAGTCCCGAGCCCAGAGAGGATCTGCCTCCTTTATTCAGTCACTGTTCTCAGCCAGGAAAAGGGTGTTCCTTTCTGAGCTTCCTGGGCAGCACTGGGTAGGAGAGTTCCTTATGCGTTTGTGTGAGTCAAAGCCAGTTTCTTCTCCTGGTTGTTTGAAAGCCACCACCAGGAGTTCTCAGAATTGACCCAAGGACTATGTAATGAAGAGTTTATTCTCAGAGAACAATCATTTCCACAACTGGGTCTCAGATAACTGGGCAAGGAAACTGTTAAGATCCATATTTTCTGGAAAATCACTGGATAGATGCAAGCCTGACCTCATTCTACTCATCAGTGAGGAGAATTGCTGGAAAAAACGGAGGGTAAGAAATGTAAACCCAGATGATTCAGAGACAAGCCAAGGACACGCAGCCTGGTTCAAGTGCAGCCATGTCAAGCCTCAGAGGCCTGCTGGGGCCTTGCTCTTCAGAGCATCGATGAAAAGTATTGCCAACCCCAGTGAGTGTGTACGGGGAGAATCTTAGCAACTTCCCGATTTTAGGCTCCCTGAACCCTCTAAGATTCACTGTATCATGAGAGATTATTTTTTCCTGTCTCTTAAACAAGAGATTAATTTTGCAAATTACTTACTATGTAGTATTACCACGATCTGCATTTCTCTTCCTGGAAGACAAATTATACTTACGTTGCATAAAAAACAGTGTATAGTATTTTTATTTCTATGGGAAGTTCATCTTTGTCTAGAAATTATGCTTGCTTGTTGTTTTAACGTTTCTATCAGAGACAGCTTGCCCTTTGAACCTATCTTTAGTGAGATAAGGAAATTGCAATTCAGCGTTATCTTGGACCAACATTTCTGCTACAGGCGAGATGATAAAAGGGCCCAGAGCTCGTGGTTGTATGTTTGTGCTGGAGATTTGGAGTTATGGGTCATGAGCTAAGGAAATGAGGGTCCTGAACTGCTCAGATTTTAGGGAAAAAAACAAAACAAAATTATAGACAAAGAGCTAAAAACAATATGGCTTGATATAGGAAAGGCGATATTAAGGTTCAAAGCCGATGGCCAAGAAAGAATTCTTCGGTGCAAAACTGTGATTTCATTAAGGCGTGGGGACAGGACTGGTGGGCAGAAAGAGCAGCATCTGGGTCTAGAGGAGTGGCCCATTCTATACCTACAAAGTTGGGAGGGTGACGTCAAGGAGGTTTCAAAAGAATTTTCACATACTAAAGAGAACCTACAAGATACCTGAAGCCTGCCTTTGTCAAGTTAAGGTGGTTTTTCCCCTCCAGCAAAACATTAACATTAAGATAGTTGGGAGTTTCCTGGCAGAAAGTCACGGCCTGTCCTGGGAGTGGCGGTGTAGGGAGAGGTTTGGGCTAGGATTGCCTTTTGTCCTTAGCAAAGTATTAACTTAGAGACATTTGAGCCCCTAGAGGAATGTCATTCTGCCTGTTTCAAGGATCTGTAATGGGCTGTAAGGAAATGCAATAAAGTTTCTTCTGCCTTTGTTTCCCACATCATGGCTGATACCCGATTGTGGTTGGCTTTGTTTTAACTGTTGTTATTTTAAAATATATATATAGTAAAATAACCCACTGACCTCTATATCAAGGTGTCCTGAAACCACCACATCATTGCTTTCTAAAAAGTTCTCAGTAATGAGCTTGTCCAGGAGAAGAACTTCATCCCATTTTTTAGCTAGATTCTAAAACTTGAGGTCACTCAACCCCTTGCCCTCATCATTCCTGTAATGCCTAGAATTCCACTTCTTTTGTGAAAACTTCCTCCAGTCACTCATTTCCACTCTGTATACTCCATCTCTATTAGTGTTACAATGGGGAGGCTGTTTCCCTTTTCATTCTGTGTAAACTGAGGCAGGCCTTGCTGGCAATATGAATGCCATGCCTGCTTGTCACAGCTGGCGCTATTGTATCGGTGCTGTTTGCCCCTGCTGAATTATGGCCACAGGAAAGCAGGACTCCCACTGGATGATGTGTGGGGAAATGAACACTCACACGGTGTTGGGGTGCCCAGCAGAGGGTGCTGTTTGGCACTGCCTGTGGCTGGAAAAGCAACAATAAGCCCAATTAATGTAACCTTATGTATCAACTATACTTCCTTAACAACAATGACAACAAAGTAACAGTGGGTCCCAAATGGAGTTATTTCTCCCCACAGTAGCAAACCAAGTTTCAGCCTCTCCCAGAAATGTGACCTTTCAGAGGTCAGTTTGAAATTTCCTGATCTGTAGTAATTGTAAGGGCTATTTAGCCAGAGCGGCCCCACCTCGGTTGAACAGCCATTTTGTTGTTTATGCAGTAAAACTTAAACTGACCCTGCCCCTCACCCCCGGGGGAACTTACTTAAAAGCAAGTCCGGGAAACCAGTCCCAGGTAACAAGCCCAAATACAAGGGTGGGTCAGGTCAGGCGGAAATAACAGCCTGAATGCAGGAATGAGTCGTGTCAGGTGGAGACATCCAGTCAGTACAGCGTGCATACTGTCTCCCTAGCTACCAAGGAGTGTGGGCCCCGCCAATTCTGACCAAAGTGATAGGCTAGTTCAAATAGCTACTATGGGGTGAATTGTAGTTCAATTGGCCACCTGTGTGTGACCTAGCATGACTGTGCAGCTTTCTCTGTGTGTTACAATCTCATTGGCCATCTGTGTGTGGCCAGGCCCAACCACATGGCCTTTGCTCTATCAAAGTTAGTCTGTGAGGCAGGGAGGGGTCGCCCTCTCTGTAAGGGGCGGCCCCGACCGTTCTATTTGATGGTGGGTTTGATTCTTGATGCTTGGCGCGAAATAAAGCTTTGCTTGACCTTCGCTTTGTCTCGCTCCTTTGACCCTGGACCCATTATTGGGGGATTCAACAATAATGACACTAAATCCTCTCCTCTCCCTTCCCAGCAAAAAGAAGATGACCTGGCCTGAAATAATCCTTTCTTTTCTTTTGCTAGTAACTTCCTTGTCTCACGCTCCTGAGGATACAAAGCCTTCCATGTCCAAGGACTTCTCAGAGCACCTGCCTGTTTACTAGAAGGGATGCTGCTCTATGCCTGAATCACTGAATCGTTGAATAAAGCCAATTAGATTTTCAGATTTACTTGGTTACATTTTTCTGCTTTAAGACCATCAAGAAGCCTTAAATTGCATTCAAAACCTTAGTACCAGAAAACGTACTTCCAGGAATTTATGCTAAGGAAGCAAAGAATTAGGATGTGTTTGAGAATGAAGCTTCAACAAAGTTAGTTTTAGTCATCAAAATATAGGAATTAACCTTGATCGTCAACAAGGAGGACTGGTTTTATGAATCATGTTCTGATTATGTAAGAGAGACCATGCAGGAATTTAAAAATAACAGCAGAGAGGTCTGTGTGTGTGCACACTCATACATCCATACACTCACAGACATGGGCCAAAGCAGAATACGAAATGCACTGGACACCAGAAGGTATTATATATATATTTTTTAAAAGACAGAGATCACAAGTAGGCAGAGAGGCAGGCACAGAGAGAGAGAGGAGGAAGCCGACTCCCTGCCGAGCAGAGAGCCGGATGCGGGGGGCTCCATCCCAGGACTCTGGGATCACGACCTGAGCCGAAGGCAGAGGCTTTAACCCACTGAGCCACCCAGGCACCCTCTATTATATTTTAAAAGTCTCTGGGAATGAATGTATTTCAGACTTTTAGAAGGATATACACCAAAATGTTAGCAGCCTTTAGTCCTAGTGATAAGCGACTGGGATGATTTCTTTTTCTTTGTGTTTGTTTGCATTCTTTTGATAATTTTTGATTTATATGTTCTTGTTTTCATTAAAGCCTAACCTAACACACACTGTATGGTGAACAAGTGGGCAGCACTGTGCTGGCCTGGGGCGTGTCACTGAGGAGTGTTGACGGCTGGGGTGGTGATGTGCTCTGGGGCACAATGCGCATGCGCCAGCGCGGGCCTTCGGGACCCGCACACTTTGGTCCCCAGCGCACCGCCTTCTGGGGGTGCCGCGGGTTTCCCAGAAGCAGCAGTTTTGGAGGTGCTCCTCTGTATTCCCTCAGAGAAGAGAATAACCCGGGAAGGACCTGGTCATAGAAAATTTTAATTCACCCAGAAACAGCTTGCTCCCCCGCCCCCCGCTTTAATTTTATTTATATGTTTTTATATTTTAGGGAATCCTGTGGAGAAGGCACTGTGAAAATCCTGGAGGAGAGACTGAAGAAAATGGGTTTTCAGTACAGCTGTATAAATGATCACCTGTAGGTGGTATATCATAATCAGTGTGCAATCTCAAAGGTGAAGCAGTGAATTTGGAGGACACAGGGTTATTGAATGTGTTCTGCTGGGATCAGCTCTGGGCCTTCTGGGCTGTCACTGGGTGTGAGGTTGCTTTGAAGGATGCTCTTTTCTTTCTACTATAGAACCCTTCCTTTTTTAAAGCACCAGATGTACCTTATTTTTTTAAAGTCTTTATTCAAATTCTAGTTAGTTAACATACAGTGCAAAATTAGTTTGAAGCCAACAATATAGAGATTCCACATTTCAATTACAATACCCAGTGCTCCTCACAAGAAAGCACCAGATTTTCATAAATTTGTCTTAAGAGGCAGTTCTTTGCTAACACAGCTCAATGATGGAGAAAATTGTGCCTAAAAATTCCACATTTAGGACCAGTTTGCTTTGGCTCAGGAACTCCCTCGAGGAGGCTATCTTTGTAAGTCATCAGGCCAAGTGTGGTGACCCAAGCCAGAGCCCAAAGTGTCCTTCCCTGCTCATGGCTGTCTCAGAGACTCAGACTGCTTTCACATGCTGTGGGGTTGTCCCCACCTGTGCTGCCCTTTGGGGCTCTTCCCTTGCAAGTCTGGCTCAGCTGTCCTTATTCCCACTTCTGGTGTTCAGCTGGGATTTTGTCTTGCTCCTGGGAGCACAGAGGAGATAAATGAAAGACTTACCATGGGAGAGTGACCAAGATTAATGCACCAAACTCCAACCCAGATGTAACTAACAGCCACTTGCCCCACAAAATCCAGGGGACACGGTCCTCTGTCCTGTGGCCATCAGGAGTTGATTCTTGCACATTTTGGCCGGGTCTTCTCTTTTCCGAGCCTCTCTTGCCTCCTGGTTGATTTCTGTGAGCACTGCATTGAGCCAGACTCTATAAAACTCAATGACTTTGAGGGGGGTCAGGGGGACAGAAAACAGCAGCAACAAACTATTCTCAGAATACCTGCATAGTATAGACTTTACCGGAGAGTAGGCAAGTCCAGTAAATCGAACGATGCATTTCCTGTTTTTATTCCAGCCACCTGGCCAGGAGAGAACCCCTGTTGGCTTGCCTCCTTAGTGCCCCATGTGCCACGGCTACCCAGCTCCTCTATTTTTTAAAAAAGATTATTTATTTATTTATTTGTCAGAGAGCAAGCGAGCATGCGCACAAGCAGGGGGAGGGAGAAGCTGAGCAAGGAGCCTGATGTGGGACTCTGTCCTAGGACCCTGGGATTATGACCTGAGCCAAAGGCAGATGCATAACTGACTGAGCCACCCAGGCACCCCTAGCCCCTCTCTCACTTCTGCTTCCCTGCCTTCTCGAGACTCTGCATCTTCTCCCTCTAACCGTGCAGCTTCTTTGCTGGACCTGGGCACTAGCCATCACCTGTGTGCCTCAAGTCCAACTTTCTGGCCAAAGACCTCATCGAGAGGATTTTCCAAGCGAGACTGTCCATCCTTACGGAAGTGGTTCCATGCTTGGGCTCTGGCGTGTGCATGCAAGGTTCAAGTTCAGCTCCACCACTGCTACTGTGTGTACTTGGGCAAATTACTCTGATCAGCTTTCTCAGCTGTAAACTGGAGATGGTAATACCTGCTCCATTTGGTTGTTGAGAGGATTCAGTGACATGGTCTGTGTAAAATCCAATCAGATTTCTTTATACAAAGTAAGTGCTCAGTAAATGCTAGCTAATATTGTTTAAAAGAAACAGTTTGTGTGGGGGCACCTGGGTGGCTTAGTTGGTTAAATGGCTGTCTTCAGCTGGGGTCATACTGGGATCCAGCCCTGCATCCATCTTCTTGCTCGAAGGAGAGCCTGCTTCTCCCTCTGCCTGCTGCTCCCCCTGCTTCTGCTCTCTTTCTCAAATAAATACAATCTTAAAAAAAAAAAAGTATGTGTGTTCTTTAAGGTCAGAGACTTTGTATCCCCAGTGCTTTGCCTGCATACCATAAATGTTTGATGAGTGAAGGTCACTTAAATAATCCCTTAAATATTCTTTCTTTTCATACCATAGACCAGTGAAGCTCTTAAAGTGTGTGGACCACAGCACCCATCCTGATTGTGTCTTGAATTCGTAAGTAGATGTCTGACCCAACCTCCTTGCTTCTCCAAGATAACCAGGACTTAACCATTGACACACTGATGAACTACAATATAATTTAACACCCATCCCTAAAATGACCTGGCTGCCGAGTAAGGTTTGTGTTCCTGCGCTTCTCCATCTCTCTGAGCTGCTAGGTAGGTGTGGGTTTGGAGAACATATGCCCAGGCGAGGTGACATCCGGCCATGTGGGCAGAGGAGATCCTGCCGTGCTGCAGCGGTTGGCACATGGTGGGTGCTTCCTGATGGCCGCAGGATCCATTCTTCATCTATAAAGGCAAGAGTATTAATCAGGGCCTCATGCCAGACACTGTGCTGTGTGCGATACATAGAATATTTTGTTAATTTTTATAACTAGTCCATTAGACAGAGACAGACACAGAAAGAGAGAGAAGGAAAGAATATGCAGTCACCTACTGGAACCACCAGCCTGGTCGTTGTCCACCTGGATTACTGAGTAGACCGGAATGAATCTCCTTGCTTCCACTTTGTCCCATCCCTCATGACTTCTTTGCAACCCAGCTGCTAGAGTTAGCCTTTTATTTTAACTGTTCATTAGGGAAAGTTCCAAACATACTCTTGGACTGTAGTTCTTCAACCTCTTAGTCATGTGACTTGTCTGCTCACAACTCTGTGGCTCTGCAGTGGCTCCCACATCCCTCAGAGCCAGAGCCAAACAGCCTGCTCTGGCCCGTTTTTCTCTCCGTCTTCTGTTCTGCTCCCTTCCCCTTTCTGAGCCTCAGCTGCAGTAGCTTCCTGGAACATGCCGGGCGCATTCCTGCCCCTGGGCCTTTGCCTGCACTGTTCATTCTTCTGGCAGTCCTTCCCCTAGCTGTCCATGTGGTTAACTCTCTCAGCTACTGTATTAGCTCCGATTTGGCCTCTGTGAAGTTATGTTGACCTCAGTATTTGAAATTACAGCCTACACCATCGACTGCTCTGTGAAATCCCTCATGCTGTTCTGTTTTTCTTTTTTTTTTTTTTTTAAAGATTTTTAAATTAAATTTATTTATTTGACACAGAGAGAGAGAGATCACAAGTCGGCAGAGAGTGGGTGGAAGCAGGCTCCCTGCTGAGCAGAGAGCCCGATGCGATGCGGGGCTCCATCCCAGGACCCTGAGATCATGACCTGAGCCGAAGGCAGAGAGAGGCTTAACCCACCGAGCCACCCAGGCGCCCCCTACTTTTCTTTTTATACTGTTTCTCATCCTCCAGCTTATTTGCTCATTAAGTTTATTCTTTACTGCCTGTCTCCCACATGTTAGAACATAAGTCCCAGAAGGACAGGGACTTTCACCTGTTCAGTGATGCATGTGTCCCAGGTGGAGAAAGGGCGGAATAAGATTGCTGGGAGGACTTAATAGGATAGGCAGTCCAGTGAACTGAGGACTTCAAAAGGCGGGGAGAGGCAGATATCCATAGTGTTACAGTGTAACTTATGTCTCTGTTTTTACTCCTTGCTGTCTTAAGCCAACTGTCAACTTTATATAGATACAGATCATGCAAAATTTCTTTTTTTTTTTTAAGAATTTTTTTTTTAAGGGCGCCTGGGTGGCTCAGTGGGTTAAGCTGCTGCCTTCGGCTCAGGTCATGATCTCAGGGTCCTGGGATCGAGTCCCACATCGGGCTCTCTGCTCAGCAGGGAGCCTGCTTCCCTCTCTCTCTCTGCCTGCCTCTCTGTCTGCTTGTGATCTCTGTCTGTCAGATAAATAAATAAAATCTTTAAAAAAAAAAGAATTTTTTTTAAGATTTTACTTATTTATTTGCTAGAGAGAGTCACAGTGAGAGAGGGAACACGAGCAGGGGGAGTGGGGGAGGGAGAAACAGGCTTCCGGCTGAGCAGGGAGCCTGATGTGGGGCTTGATCCCAGGACCTTGGGATCATGACCTGAGCCAAAGGCAGACGCTTTATGACTGAGCCACCCAGGTGCCTCCAAAATTTCTTTTTGTGAAACCATGGCATGACCATTGTACATGACCATTCCTGAAGTAGGCAGGTGGTTCCACCCTGGCCTCCCATGCCTCAGTTTACCTCCTCTACTGCAGGAGGTGTAAGGTGAATGAGGGTGGCTCTCCTTACCTGTAATCAGAACTTTCTAGGTGGGGACTTCGGACATGGGCGCATCATCTTGTTTCTTTCCAACCACATTCCTGAAAGGAGGGCAAGTCAGTCCCCATCAGTGATGCTGAAGGGGTTAAGCGATCTCATAAAGTTACTTGGGACTGGCTAGAGCCAGAAACAGAACCCACATTTGTGTGTCAAGTTCTTGTTTCCCCCACAAAAACACACTGCCTCAGAATGTCACTGTGGTTCACACCACAGCAGAGAAGGAAAGGATTTAAAGTACCTGATTTGCTCTTTGGGCATTCTTCCAGCGATTGCTGAAAAGATTTATGTATGACACTTCTTTCCGCATTCCACTGAATGTGAAGAAGAAAACTGTCTTTCACTCTTTGCCAGGTTTTCTTCCACTTTCATTGCCCTGGAAGGAATTTTACCGATGATACCTTCTTTAAACAACTTAGCTAAGAATATTGATGGATGATTTGCAGGACAGATCCCCAAGTGGCAAATGGAGAATGATTTCATCTTTCTAGTAACAATGAGATACAAATTTAATAAGGTACAATTTTCGCCTCAACCTCTTGGACTTGGCTTAGCCAAAAACAGTTAAAAAATATTTTAAAAGTCTTATTCAATGCTTGATGCCATTGTAAGTTTGTAAATTGCTTTGGGAGAACAATTTGACAATATATATCAGGAATTATAAAGATATTCACAATTTTTGGCCTAAGTCAGACCTTAGGTACTTCCAGTACCCTCTTCTAAAGAATGTGGGGGCAACCTTTATGCTCAAAGATGTTCACCAAAGCATTCTTTATAATACTGAATCCAAGGTGTAAGCATTGGGAGCTGGACCTAAATATCCAATGAGAAGTGAATGGTTGTATCAAGGGATTACATTTACTGGATGGAATATAATGTAGATATTATGTGTAGATTGTATCTCCATAAAACTAGGCAGGGGCAACAGTGTTAGGATAATCATACAGCAATTGGAAAAACTCTCATGAACAATTCAAGTGAAAAAACATGTAGAAAACAAACTTGAAGGCTTATAGGCTCTAGTTTGGGCCAAAAATTCAGTACAATTGATAATCTCCTGGATTGGTGAAGATATGAGAAAACATGTAATTATGTTATTGAAATTAGGATTCACTTTGTCAGTCAGGGTCAAGGAGAAACATCAAATCTCTCATCTTGGCCCAAATTCTCTGTCTAAAGTGAGTTATCTCTCCTTCTCCAACACACCCCAGGACACAGAAGTGGGAATTCCAAGTTCAACTTGGTTAGGAATAATGGAGTAAAGGACTTTTAATCTGCAAAAGTTTAGAATGGAACAAACAGCTGTTTGTATAAATCCAACTCACATTATTAATAGTTCTGTGGTAAGTTTAGGAACGACTTGCATTTTCTGGTATTTAATTTATTTGCAACATTTTATAGAATTTAGCATATAAAAATAGCTGTGTGATTCCAAGTGTATATATGTAACCATTAAATAACTGATTTCAGACTTGGGATTTTTAGCTGAAAGTTATAAGAGATTTTACTAAGTTTTTAGCCAAAAATGGAAAGTATAAAAGAATTGAAATTAAACTTAATACTCTTACTAGATTTTCTAGAATCAAGTATTTGAGGAAGTTCTGCTCATTTAAAGTCATTTGAAGGGGCACCCAGCTGGTTCAGTCTGTAGAACATGAGATTCTGGATATCAGGTTCTGGAGTTCAAGCCCCATGTTGGGCACAGAGATTACTTTTTTAAAAAGTTACCAGAGGTCCCTATTCTTTCTCTTTGAGATAAGCTTTAGCCCCAATATGGGACTTGAACTCACAGCCCTAGATATCCAGAATTGCATGCTATACCAACTGGGCCAACCAGGCAGATTCTTAAATAGAAAAATAGGATTCAAAATTAATAGAGAAATCTATGGGGAAATAAGGTTTTTGAATTTATAAGTTTAATAGCTGGAATTAATTTTTTAAACCAATGTAATTGCAAGTAGTGTTTTTTTTCTTTGCATGAAAGCTGCCCTCAAGCACAACCTCACATAGTCAGGAAAAGTTTAAGTTAAAATGTGACATGTAAAGGCACATGAACTCAGTCATGGAAAGCAAAGGAAAACAAAACTGTATGTTTCTATTTGTGCATGCTAATGAACATCAGTGATGAAATAGATCTAAGGACATGAACTCCAGATTGCTACCAGCGGTTACTTTTAGGAAAGGGAATGAGAACTTTAGTAGGGATGGAGACCCTCAGTATAACTGTGTCTTCTTCTGTAATATTATATTTTTCTAAAAGAAAAAACACAGGGATGCCTGTGTGGCTCACTTGGTTAAGTGTCCAACTCTTGATTTCGGCTCAGGTCATGATCTGAGTGTTTTAAGGTGGAGCCCTGTTGCTGGGCTCTGTGCTCAGTAGGGGGTGTGCTGCTCTCCTTCTCCCTCTCCTGCACCTCCCTGCTCTCTCTCTCTAAAATAAATAAATACATCTTTTTAAAATATATATACATATATATTTTAAGATTTTATTTATTTATTTGACAGAGATCACAAGTAGGCAGAGAGGCAGGCAGAGACAGAGAGGAGGAAGCAGGCTCCCTGTTGAGCGGAGAGCCAGATGCTGGGCTCGATCCTAGGATCCTGGGATCACGACCTGAGCCGAAGGCAGAGGTTTTAACCCACTGAGCCACCCAGGTGCCTCTTAAAAATATTTTTTAAAAGGAATAAGCATAACTATACCTTTGTATTTGTTAATTACCTTAGAGCAAAAGAAAAAAGCAATTTTTAGTAAATCCAAGTCTGCAATGTTAACTGAATCAGAAGTGCAATTGTAGAAAATGTCCAGCAGGAGGAGCCCTAGTACAAATGTGTGGACTGCTTAAGATTATTTTATTTTACTTCCTTCCTTTTATTTAAGATTGTATTTATTTAATTAAAAGAGAGAGAAAGAGAGAGAGAACATGGAGGCGGGGAGGAGCAGGAAGAGAAGCAGACTCCCTGCTGAGCCCCAACATGGGGCTCCATTCCAGGACCCTGAGACCATGGCTTGAGCCAAAGGCAGCTGCTTAACGGGCTGAGGCACCCCTCCTTTATTTTGTTTTTATTAAAAAAATTTTGGGGGGTGTAGTTTGGTGTATAACATGTCATTCTACAGGCTGTGCTCACCACAAGTGTAGCTACCATCTGTTACAAGATAAGTCTTGTTACAGTATCATTGACCATATTCCCTATGCTGTGCCTTTTTTTTTTTTTTTCTTTCTTGTGGCTTATTCAGGCTGTAACTGGAATCCTGTATCTTCCACCCCTTGCATTCATTTTTCACATCCTCCCTCCCATCTGGCAACCATCAGTTTGTCTCTGTATTTACAGGTCTGATTCTTCTTCTTGTTTTTTATTCATTTGTTTTTTTCTTTTAGATTTCACATATGAGTGAATCATATGGTATTCGTCTTTCTCAGTCTGACTTATTTCACTTAGGATAATACCTTCTAGGTCCATCTGTGTTGTTGCAAATGATTTAAAAAAAAACAAACTCATCCCTTTTTATGGCTATGTAATATTCCTCTGTGTGTGTGTGTGTGTGTGTGTGTGTGTGTGTGTGTGTACACACCACATCCTCTGTATCCATTTGTCTATGGATGGACATTAGGTTGCTTCTGTATCTTGGCTGTTGTAAATAATGCTGCAATAAACATTAGCAAAAAAGGGGTGATCAGCACTCAAATGGAGTCCAAAACCACGGAATAAATTTCCAAGCCAACATTAGATTGTTTCATGATTTTTTAAAAAATGTATCTTTTAATTTTTTTTAATTCAGTATTTTTGAAAAAATTCAGTAATTTCCATTTAAAAAAATTCAATCAGTAGTCAGATTGTATTTGCTGTGGTTGGAGTCCATTTTTTTGGCCAGGTCCTCTCTTGGTGTCTTAATGGCAAGACGGATTTTTCCACACTAGTTAAACTCCAGTGATACAATGTCCATCAGTAAGGAGGTTGGCTACCTTTATGGTATGTCCATACAGTAAGATTTCATCCATGAGAAAGAATGAAGTAACTAATACATACAATATAGATATATGTCCAAAATCTGATGTTAGGTGAAAAAAGGTGCAAATTCCATTCGTGTTAGATAAAAGGGTACGTGAAGGTCTGTGTAGGTGTCCGCACAAGTAAGCATAAGTCATATTCCTCTGAAGCCAGCTCAAACCGTCAACACTGATTCTCTGTGGAAAGCAAGAATAGGGAATCACTCTGTGGGGCACCTAGGTGGCTCAGTTGGTTAAGCGTCTGCCTTCGGCTCAGGTCATGATCCTAGGTCCTAGGATGGAGCCCCAGTTGGGTTCCCGGCTCAGCCGGGAGTCTGCTTCTCCCTCTTCTCCTCCCCCAACTCATGCTCACTCGTTCTCTTTCTCTCCCCCAAGCCCGGAAAAAATAAATAAAATCTTAAAAAAAAAAAAAAAAAAAAAAAAGAATGGGGAGTGTAAGGCACTTTTACTTCTCAATTTATACGTTCTGTCCTATTTCATTTTTTTCTGCACTGTGCATGTATGTATATTTTTGAAAGTAGGAGCCACACACCAATACTGAAATTTTCTTTATTTTCCTTTTGATTTGCAGGGCGGCAGCATCTAGAGAAATCCCACCTCTCTGGGCAGAACATGGTGCCAGTCATATCGTTCCTTTGCTAGTGGCTCTGGCTTCAGCTGTTCACATGTAACCAGAAACTCTGCTGTTTGGCCCTAACTCTCCCCCAGCCCTGAAGCCTGCCCTTTGCACATTCATTCCTCTTGTTCTGTGCATACCAGGTGATTCCATTGTCTGATGAAGCTTCCTTCTGGGAAAACAATGTCCTGAGAGGGGTTTTCAATGATGCACATGCTCAGGATTTCAGAGACAGGAAATTCTTCTAGTCCTATTGAACGGGTTAAAATTGCTGCATTAGAATTAAAGCAAGTTATTAGCTTCTTACTTCATAATGGTGCAAAGCATTGAGATCCAGACTGGTGCTCTATAAAAAATATTTTTAGGAAATTCTAATAGTGGGGCGCCTGGGTGGCTCAGTGGGTTAAGCCGCTGCCTTCGGCTCGGGTCATGATCTCAGGGTCCTGGGATCGAGTCCCGCATCGGGCTCTCTGCTCGGCAGGGAGCCTGCTTCCCTCTCTCTCTCTCTCTGCCTGCCTCTCTGTCTACTTGTGATCTCTCTGTCAAATAAATAAATAAAATCTTAAAAAAAAAAAAAAAAAAGGAAATTCTAATAGAACTAAATCTGTATATTTTTCTATATTTTCTTTTATCCTCAGCGGGGCACACTGCATGCTTATTGATAGTTTAAGATATATACTTAAGATAGTATAAGATATATATACAAGTGTATACATATATATTTGGCATGCAAAGATTTATGTGCAAAGATGTTCATTTAGGAGTGCCTTGGTGGGTTGGTCAGTTAAGTGTCTGACTTTGGCTCAAATCATGATCTCAGGGTCCTAGGATTGAGTCCCACCTCAGGCTCCCTGCTCAATGGGGAGTCTGCTTTTCCCTCTTCCTTTCCCTCTGCCCCTCCCCCGACTCTTTCTGTCAAACAAATAGATTTAATTTTTTTTAAAAAGTTCATTTAATGGTTAAATATAATGGTGGGGGAGAAACTCACAATGTCCAATAATAGGGAACTGTCTTCATATGGCTTGGTATATCTGTAGGATGGAATATTCGTTCAGCTGGGAAAAGTCATGTTTACTAACCCAAATGTCCTTTGCCCAGTGAATGCATGAACTAACTGTGGTACATCTATACAATACTCAGCAAAACTCTCTGTATATTTAGCAAAAGAAAGTAACAAGCTATTGGTATATGCAGCAACATGAGTAACACTGAGATGCACTCTGCTAATAAAAGAAGACAGACCCATAAGCTACATACCAGTATTACTCAACTTACATGACATTCTGGAAAAGGCAAAGCTATAGGAATGGAGAATAGATCAGTGGTTTCCAGGGATTAGGACTGGGGGCAGTGGTAGCTACAATGGGCCAATGTGAGGGAGTTCTGGGGGAGTGAGAAACTGTGTCTGTATCTTGATTGTGGTGGGGACCTGAATGTCTGCATTCGCCAACACTCAGAACTGTACGTCAAAAAGAGTTAGTTTCTCTGCATGTAACTGAAATGTTTTCAAAGAACATTTAGTCACATAGGAAAATGTCAACAAGAAATAAAATATAAAACCTTCTAAAATATAATATAAATTTAACAAATTCTATTATGTTTGTGTATTTGAATGACATGCATAGTGTAAGTGAATGAAAGGAAATATGATAAACCCAAAGGTGGGTAGTGGTCTTATCAGTGATTCCTGTTTTTGGTGTTTGGCTTTTTGTATTTTCCAGATGTTCTCTAATGAGTATGCATTACATTTATAATCAGAAAAAGAGAAATTTGCACACACACACACATGCACATATCATATATGTGTGGTAATTTGACCCAACACAAAACATTTCCAGAAGACAAAAACAAAACCTAAAGCTTGTCACAGACACTTCTCTGCTCCTTTTCTTCCATAAAGCAAGCAAGGGAGGTTCAGACGTGAGAACTCACTGATTCTGATGCCCCAGCAGCCAGAAACGGGCAGCGTAATCCCTTTCCGTTCCCATAGGACCTGTAAAGCTCCGTAGAGGAAAAGAAATTGCCCTCAGGTGGCAGAGCTGTTCCTCAAAGGTGCAGCCCTGAGTCCAGAGCTCTTTCTCACTTACTCCAATGGCCTTCACCTCTAGGTGAGGTCCTCCTGACAGTGCCTCTACTCAATTTTTGTGGACACTTGACCAGATATTTGCTGCAAAGTAGGAAAACTGTGCAGCTAGATGATCACTGTGTATAACATATACACACATAACATAATCCCATGAATATCTAAAGAGGATCTAGACACTGCTCTGGGCAAGCCTAGGCCTTCCATCTCTTTCTCCCTTGCTTCCTCCTCTCTTACCATTATCCCACCCTTGTGACATCTGCAGGCTCACTGGCCCCATCCTGGTGCTCTGGCAGGAAAGACCAGCTAACTCCCTTGCCCACTGTCATCAGCTATCTTCATTATTATCACCAACATCAGGACCGTAGCTAGTATTTATTGAGTTCTTATCATCAAGTGGGCACTGTTACAAATGTTTGATAAAGGATTTAATATCCACAGAGTTATCACCACTATCCTCATTTTGCAGACAAGGAAACTGAGGCTTGACAAGGTTAAATCATTTCCTCAAGATCACAAAGCTAGTAAGTGGAAGGGAGTTTATATAACCAGAGTTGGGGTGCTTTACCCTCTGCTGTACTAATAAGACCCCACAAATGTTAAGAATCCCTGCATGTGTTCCAGAACCATCTAAACGGACTCCTTTATCTCTCCATCCATGTTCTCAATCTTTGTAGATTTCCAGCCCTGCTATCCACATACCATCTTTGCTTTTGCTTCTCCCTTACACTTTTGACACAAGATAGTCTCTTCGTGTCCCCAAACCCAACTTCCCTCCTGTCTGTATTTGCATCTCTCTTCCTTGTCTCAGCATGTTTAAGGACACCTGTCAGGGTAACATACTTTCTACCTCAAGACCTGATACTGTCACACCTCTACTCAAACCACCTGAGCACTGCAGGCAGAAATTAGACTTATACTGACATGGCATCTAGGGACACATGGGTGGCTCCGTCCTTTATCATCTGCCTTCAGCTCTGGTCATGATCTCTGGGTCCTGGGATGGAGCCTCCTGTACTGGGGCTCCTGCCCAGCAGGGAGTCTGCTTCTCCCTCTCCCTCTGTCTCTCCCCACCGTTTGTGCACTCTTTCTCACATGGGCTCTCTCTCTCTCTCTCAAATAAATAAAATCTATCCCCCCCAAAACAAAACAAAAAACCACATTTACGCAGCAAGTAGAGTTCTCCATGCATATAAGCATGAGTATTACCAATTTCCAGCTTTCTCTTTTATTAGCTAAGGTCCTATGGGGTTTTGGAGAAACCTGGTATTGATGGCTGAATTTTGGGATGTTTTCTCTTTTTATATAAATCTTGTAGCCTTTGGCATGCAGTATCAGCCTATGGATGTCTTATTTTAGCTTCAAAGGATATATGTGACCAACGTTTGTATGAGGAAGGATGGAAGGAAGGAAGGGGGGGAGGGAGGAGGGAAAGAAGAAAGGAAAGAAGGAAGGGAGAAAGGAATCCTTTGTAATGTTTCAAAGTCCTGCCCCAGTTCCCCCACATATCCCCCACATGGGATATGACAAACCATATCCTATGACAAGCTGTAGGGCATTGTTATGAGGACAGGCAGGATGAACAAGCTTGCCAAAGCAACTCTTCTCCTCAATTTAGCCTTGGAGTTACACAATTTTGTCTTCCTTGTGTATGTTCCAGTGTAATGCCTCCCAAATGAACTCTAATAGGTTTCCAGAAGGATCCAGACCTTTCCAGATACTGTGTTATAAAGAATATCATTTGAGTTCCCCCCTTCCTGTTGTGTCTAACAACACTAGATTAGACAACTGTTCATACAAAACAATCCTACTGGCTGCAGAGGAAGGAAGAAGCAGAACCAGCCTCAAAGGTGTGTATCTGCGCAGGTACTCTGGGACTCATGCTCAGAAAGGCCCAGCTTGGTCTAATGCTCTTCTGTCTCTGACTTTAAATTCTAAATTTTTGAACAAGGAGCCCAACATTTGTATTTTTTCACTGGGCCCTGCAAATTATGTAGCTGGTCCTGACTGGAAGTATTTTCAGAGAAAGGGCGTTTTATTTTGTTTTAACTGGCTCTTTTTCATAGATAAGAAACAGGGCAATGGAGGCCCTTGCTGTGCCCAGTTTTAGAAAAGGATGCCTCCATTGCATGTGCCTGAGAGTTTTCTTACCTAGGCTCCACTTCCCCAAGAAAGAAGGGGCAGCCTGCCTTCCCAGTCGCCCTGGAAGCGGGGTTGCAGACGCATGACATAAAGCTCACCTGCCAGGTGCGTGTGTTAGGAGGCTCCGGTTCAGGGGAGAGGTAAATGGAGATGCGGCCAAGGACGCGGACTGTCCAGCCGTAAGGACGGTGCTGGTGGGGTCCTAGCGGTGTCATGGCTGCTGCAGCCCGAGGTGACCGTTTGTCCGTGTGCACGCAGCTGCTTGTCTGGGCTTGTGCTGCTGGTTGTGAGGCCCCTTGCTGGGCACATTCTTTCCAACCTCCGTGTACTCAGCAGTGCTGAGCATCGGTCACTGCAATTTCGCGGTTGGTGGTTTGAGCCACCCCGTGTTGTTACGTGAATCCCACCAGGCCTTCCTGCCCCACCAAAAAGGTACTGTCTTAGTCCGTCTGGGCGCCTATCACAAAATCTTACAGACTTGGGGAGCTTACAAACAGCAGAAGTTTCTTTGTCATAGTTCAGGAGGCTGGGAAGTCCTCTCCTGGTCCGAGGCACCAGGACCACGGTGCTGTGGGGAGGACACTCTTTGCTCAGGTTCAGAGGCTCGCGCCTTCCTGCCGCATCCTCACCTGCTGGGGGCGCTAAGGAGCTCGCTGGAGCTCTTACTGCCGCCGCTGATCCCAGCCGTGAGGGCTCCGCCCTTCTGGCTTAAGCACCCCCCAAAGACCCCACCTACCCATGCCATTACTTTAGGCAGTAGGATTTCAACACGGGAATTTGGGGCGACACAAACATTCACACTTAGCAGGTGCTGATGCCCAAACCAGATAAGAAGTCTTCCCAGCTCTCAATTCTCCACCACTTCGTCGGAGAGGATGCAACCAAACTCTATCAGCAGAATGGTCTGGCTCTCCCTACGGGCTCGGAATATGCTAACCTTCTGCTCCACCTTCTGTGCCGGCCAGTTATCTCCAGCCCATCCTCTAGATCTCAGCTCAAGGGTCTCTCCTTCTGTGAAGCTCTCCCAGACCAACATTCCCAATCTAGGTCAGGTTCAGAGTTGGTTTTTGTTTTTTTCTTCTTTCCACTTTGTAATTATATGTTTTTATTTTTTATCTTTTTAAAGATTTTATTTATTTATTTGACAGAGAG